AGAATTTGCCTTACAGCAAAACTATCAGAGGCTGAGCTAAACGTCGGCAGGATACCACATGAAGATCATGAATTGTTCAACCTCCAACAAATTAGTACCAGCGATCTTGCGTAACTGGTTGCGTAGAGCTAACTTCTTGAAGAAAAGTACTGAAGAATGAGTTGAAGAATGAGTTAAAGAACGAGTAAGAAATGGCAGGAACCGAAGATTTAATTAATGATTTGTTTCGACGAAGAACGGCACTTTCTATCTGATACTTTTAACAGCTGGAGGAAGGTACCATATTATTAGTATTATTATATTGAAAAGATATACTTCTGAAAAGTGCTCTTCATCGGCGTACTCTCACCCTTGTGTAAACCCCTCTTGTCTCTTTTGGAGAGATATTTTGATTGGAGACAGATAATTTCGCAACTGCTTTTATCGAATTAATGTCCTTCATTGTCAAAAAACATATATTTGTGCGTTTTGTGGACAATCACGACCCACAAATCCTGTAGGTTTTTTCGATGACGGAAAGCTATTGTCAATTTAAAAATCTGCAATTCAACTCGGGTGGATCCTTTGAAGCAGATGTCACCCATTTGGACAATGGCAGGTTGTCTCGTTCATTGGATCAATTACTGGAAACATCTTAGATTTGGACATATCGGCATTTCATTTCATTATGTGAGATTTTTCCCAGAAAGTTTTTCCTTCTATTTCTGACTGGAGGCAGTGCAATCATCCTAAGCGCGCGTCCTCTCCCGTACGATGTACATAAGAGAGTGAATGCTTTTCACCCAGGATTATAGGTTCATAATGGGATTTCAAATGCGTAAACTTATTATCGTTCTTCTTGAAGTTTTCTTCGCTTTCTAGTATCGCCGCTTCCCAGCAGTAACCTTGCTTTCGTTAGAGAATGGTGAATTTCCGAGCGACATATTACAAAATGGTAGATTAGAAGTTCTGTAATTGAGAATTATTGGCTTTGACCTCAGCGAGATATATTACCATATAAAGGGCAGGAATAAATCATGGTAAGTCAACTTTAAAGGTGTACTTAGTCCTTTTTTAAAAAATTGATTGTATTTTATGGTTGTTTTCCGTTTTCGAATTCAAGTAGACTTCCTCATTAAGAATCAGTTCTATTTACCAGAGACAAATTGTTCACAATAAGCAAAGAATTGCCGCGGTGATTTTAAGATAAATGAAAACGGCAAGAGAGAACGGCAACGGCTCCTAAGTGAATTGAAATTGTTTAAACTAACTTGTACCACAGCGAAATTGCCTTCATTCCGCTCTGCAGGATGGTTGCTAAGCTGCAGACAGCTCCAATTCTCATCCAAGAATTGTAAGTAGCAAACGAGAAGATATAAGTTCAAGGGAACCGTGAAAACGTATCGCCCGGGAAATTAAGTGAGGACAGGATTAGGGCATGCATCCTCATCAAAGAGGCAGAAGCTCTTCCTATTTAAACTCAACCAAAGGGAGTTGGTAGCGACAAAATTGAGATCTTCGGTGCCAGAAGATCGAGTCTTGGAGTTCAGGGCTGAGTCACCTTGTAACCTCATGGCTCTAAAAATCCCTCTCGATGCAAGAAGTGAAAGGTCTAATAAACAAAGTAAAGGGCGACGAGCTAAGACTCCTGGCGAATAATTATGCCTATCTTTCGTCGTGTGTGGTACAAAAGTTTCAATAACAATGCAAGGAGAGAAGCCCAACACAATTAGAAAGAATAAACTGATCTTCATGAATAACCGAAACAAAACAGGTTGCAGCCGGACAAATATCCACATGAGGTAGAATGGACTATTTATCTACCATAATTGCAACCAGCGGTAGACTTCATCCTATAGCCACTCACGACAATATTCAGACCCATTATGGTTCAGAAAACCCTACCACAGTTGAGACACTATAAGATAATATAATTGGTTTATTGTACAGGAGTTCAAATAGAAAACAAAAAAGTAGAAACAAAAAATGAATAACAAAAATTTAAGAGATAAAAGTATGAAATAACCGCAGGGTAGAGAGTACGCAGATTGGGATATCGCTTAATATGGAAGTAATGCAATGCCAACATTCCACTATGCCTTCCTCTCCACCAGCCAGCATTTCAAGTGACGGAAGGTTTCTGTTGCGCTGAGGGCTGTTGTTCGAGACCTCAGGCTTAGCAACAGCTAACACAGCCCTATCGGTCTCCATGGGAAATTACGGACTGTCAAAGTCTGCTGGGCCATGACGCCGAGGTCTGGAGAATGAATACTCTACAAAACAGTTAGCAAGGACAGATGGAGAGCCCAATTTCATTACCAGGAACATGAGTGCGGCAACAGCCGAAATCTGGCAGCCCGAGATAGAAAGCCACCCCTATCGCGTCGTGAGCCAGAGATCGAGGCATCCTTCGGCAACCCAAGGACGAACCTCACAGCTGGATTAACCATGCGCTGGAGCTGCTCATCCAGAACCCAGCCAATCCCTTGCAAGATGGCCAGGCAATAAAAAATATGAGGGAAGAAGCTCACACAAGCCAATGTACCAGAGTACTTACAGGAAATGATCGGTAGCTAATTTACTACAAAAATCATAAAGTACGATACGGAGCATTATCTTAAGAACTGTGAAGCCACAAAGGAGCAAATAGACGGAGAAGTGCACAGCATTGAACGCCATTTATTGTGACACACCCTGTATGATGGGTTACTGAAGCGGGACCTGCAGCGTGAAAATATACGTATAGCATATGCAGATGATGTAGCTCTAATCACCTTGAAATAATGTCAGTGCTTCCCCCC